TATGTCCTTTAACGCGATTATTATTTATTAAATTAGCTTTGCGCATCGTTCGTTGAATTCTGTTCGGACACGGAATTATTTAAATTCAAATATCATTTATGTACTTCGACTGGGTTGCTTATTGTTAATCTTCACTGTATATATCGCATACAAATTTCATACGGTACACGTGAGAAAATTAAAACGGTTGTCACGGTTAAACTACATATTATTTCGGGACCGAAAATTTAGTAAACATTCTTCAGACATTCTGAAATAAGGATGAATAGCGTTTTTCTTGAAATTATCACTGTCACGTGGTAAAAAAAAATATCAAAAGTTCATGCTCCGTGACTTGTTCATTGATTCGGACGCCGCACACAGACCCTCCTTCAACTGTCAAACTCAGCGGTAAACGCACGTGCCGCTCGGCCGATCGATAACCATATGGTTCGCGCCAATTCGTCTCATTGGCCAGTGTTTTTCGTTAATAACTTGCAAACGAAGCCGCGGATTGCATTTTCGCAAAGGAAAAAGTTACTTCAAATGATCTCAGCTACCCCTCATTTTCGGCTGTTAAAATAATTGTGGGACACCCTGTATAACATATAGCATGTAATATGTAACATGTAATATATACTATGTAATATGTAACGTATAATATGTAACATGTAATATATAACATGTAATATGCAACATGTAACATGTAACATGTAATATGCAACATGTAACATGTAACATGTAACACATAATATATATTAAGTATACTCGTGTTGCTTTCTAGAGAGAGAGAATTATGAAATTTTCACGTTACAACTTGATACATTTGCTAAACATATACCAGCCAATGAGTTACGATCGAGGACCGCGCGACCTCTGCTGCAACGTAATACATATTTTCTTCCCGTATATCGTACCAAGTATCGCACGCAGGCGTCATGGTTGCTGGAGCAGCAAGGTCTTCCCATTCTGACGCGACGAAGGACTCGCTCCTCGAACGTCCCGTCGGAGTTGTCGAGCACTCGGTGGCCGTCACGTAACACTCCACGTTCGAGTCGTCGATCGTACTTTCGTCGCAGGATCTGTCAACGATATCCTGCAACGGAAACAAATAAATAATAGAGCAGCGTTCGTCCTTCTGCTGTCTTCGTCAACGCGCAACAACACTCTGGCTATTTTTACGCGTACACTTACGAACGATAGTTAAGAAACATGCCGCTCGGATGCAGGAACGTGGGGTGTCATCACCTTGTATCGACATAGCATAACCTTGTTAACGCGTGACGGAGATTCGTACGGCGTCCACGAAAATATTGATACTATTTATCTTTTATAACTTTCTAACTTTTACATTTCATTTTCTTATAATTTCGTAATTTTTTCTTTTTTCTTTTCTTGTATTCCTTTCTAAATTTTTGTTAATTTTTTTCATTTGTCGCGTGCACCAAATAAGACAATGCATTATATCGTTGGAAATTTGAAAATTGTTGAATCGACGTATCGTATATTTGTTCTTATTTTTTGGATCGATTTATTACAATCTTGTACGACGCGTTTTTAATCAAATCCAATTTATGACGCGTTCTTAATAAAATCCCAATATACAGAGTGAGTCAAAAATTAGTCCCAACGATTTTTCAGCCTCTTCCAATGGTCTCCCAAAAAAACGTTTCCTATCGAAGTTAATTAGCATTTAGCCGACAAGAAATTGCAATTGTTTAAATATAAAAACAAATTGATTTTCGATAAAAGAAACAAGGTCACTGTTATATTTCTAAATTAGACTTATTATTATATATTATTATACTATACACCTACTATTATATATACAAGGTGTCCTAAAATTATGGTATTTCCGGAAAATGAGGAGTTTCTGAAGCGATAGAAGTAACTTTCTCCTTTACAAACATTTTCTCCAAGGCATCGTTTACGAGTTATCGACGAAAAACAATGACCAATAAGGGGCGAGCTCGCCTGACGCTAGGCGGCCGAGCCAACGAGCGCACGAAGCCGAGTTGCGTTCATTGGCTCGCCCGCTAGCCGAGCTCGCTTCTCATTGGTCAGTGTTTTTCGTTAATAACTCGTTAACGATGCCTTGGAGAAAATTTTTGTAAAGGAAAAAGTTGCTTCGAATGACCCAAGGAACCTTCCTAGTTTCTCAGAAACTAGGTTTAGCGTTGAATAATCGCACGAGGGGTACCTATCCTAGAAATACCATAATTTTGGGACATAATTATGTCCCAAATAATCCTGTGAATAATAATTCTGTGTAAAATTATGGGATATAATTATGTCCCAAATAATTCTGTGAATAATAATTCTATGTATATACAGGGTGTCTCGAAATTATAGGATATAATTATGTCCCAAATAATTCTGTGTATATACAGGGTATCCCAAAATTATGGGATATAATTATATCCCAAATAATTCTGTGAATAATAATTCTGTGTATATACAGGGTGTCCCAAAATTATGGGATATAATTATATCCCAAATAATTCTGTGAATAATAATTCTGTGTATATACAGGGTGTCCCAAAATTATGGGATATAATTATATCCCAAATAATTCTGTGAAAAATAATTCTATGTATATACAGGGTGTCCCAAAATTAGGGGATATAATTACGTCCCAAATAATTCTGTGAATAATAATTCTGTGTATATACAGGGTGTCCCAAAATTATGGGATATATATTTGAAACTTAAACGTTCGCTATAAAACAGTCGTCTCAGTCTCACCTCGGCAACGCTGTCGTCCTGCTTGCGTCCATCGGGATCCGAGAAATCCATCCGATCGTTGTCAGTCCCAGCCGGTTCTGCAAACTTCGCGGCAGCCTCCATCACCGGTGACTGGACTCTCTCGACACCGGCGCAGCTTCCAATATCCGCCGCTGGTATCGTCGTCGTCGTCGTCGTCGTCGAAGAAGAAGGCGGCGACGTTCCCTTGACGGTCGAAAACGTGGAAACGGACCTCGGTTGGAATTGTGGCGCCGGTGCGGACGAGCTTATCATCGTCGCGGAGGCTGCGCCGGCGATCGACGAGATTCCCGGCGATATCGGTCGAATGATCGTCGCGGACGGCGTCGTTGTTGCGGACGCGGACGCGACGGAGGCGGGCAGCGAGAACAGAGAGGAGGTCGAGGACATGGCGGAGGACGAGATCGGGACCGGCCGAGTCCTGGCACCCGCCTCGCATAATCTGGCGTCCAGCTTCTCGGCGAGCCGCGTCACTTCCGCCAGTCGGGCCGAGATCGCCTCCACCGCTGTCAGGTTACTGGCTTTGCCCGAGCCATCCTCGGCCTCAGACATTCTAGAAAAATAAATTACCGTCGTTCGCTTACCGTCTATTAATAGAGTTTCCCTAGACCACGCGCGCACACCCGCGAACGATCTTTCTTCCATCCTGATTACCGGCTTCTTCCGCGGCTGTCGAAGCTGGCCCTGGCCCGCGTCTGTTTAGGATTTCGGCCGGCGACTGATCGCGCGCGCGCGCCTACGTCACCCGATACCGGTGCGTGTTGCTGTTCCGCTCGCGGCGGAAAAGTACGGTGCCCCGATTATTGACCCCTTGCTGTACCATTTTCCTCGTACGGTTAACGAGACTTTTCGATCGCGACGATTTCTTGGAAGGGGAAGATATTTAATCGAACCACCATGTTTTTAGCAGCGTGCTTAAATAATAAAATGAAAATAATAAATATATAATGATAGTATAATAATAAATATAATATACATGATTATAAATATACTTATTATATTTATTTGCTATCAAATATATTATATTTATTATATTTTTATTTACTGTGACATATGTTTATATTTTTCAATATATAATGTATTTATAAATATATTATATATATATATATATATATATATATATATATATATATATATAATAATAT